AGGCGTGGCGCGCCTGCAACAGGCCAGCCACTGGGGAGGCTGAGGCAGGGGGAGCGGGTGTAGGGAGACTGTCTGGAAACAGTAAGCACAATAATACTGGGTTGTGGGGGAAGTCATGATAAACGTTTTGTTTTTCTATGCAAAAATGTGTCATGATTTTTCCAACAACCCAATAATAAATCAATCAACGTGACACACCCTTAGAAATACCACTATACCAAATCGGCAAAATATATATACATAGGGCGCGTGCGTTCACCAGAAAGACGCAGAGAAACAGAGAGACAGAAAGTGAGAAATCACCCCCAGGGGGGATGGCCACGCTGCAATCCCTTCTCCTCTCGGGATCTTGGGCACGCACGCACATGTGCCTGGCGTGAGTTTAAGACACCGGATTCGGGACTCGAACCGCAGTCGATTACATGGGTGTCCAGCGATATAGCCATTATGCCAACTGCTGCTACCCTCCCCCCCAACATTTTTTAAAACAGAGATTTTTGCTATAGGGCGTGTGTACTCACCAGAGAAACAGAAAGCAAGAAATCACCCCTCAGGGGGGATGGCCACACCACAATCCCTTCTCCTCCATTCTCCTTTTGAGATTTTGGACACATACACACACGCACACACACACGTGCCCAGTGTGAGTTTTAAGCCACTGGGTCCAGGACTTGAACCAGAGTCAATTACATGGGAATCCAGTGACATAACCATTATGCCATCTGCTGATCCCCAAAAGCAGCATTTTTTTAGAAAGAAGGGATGGCTGTTCTACAGCTCACCTCTCCCAGCTGTCCCCCCTCGCTGCTCAGGATACCACATCACGCAGCGTGGTGGCTATCTTACTCCGGACGGTACTGAAATCATTTGCTCTAAGCTTCTTGGCTCCTAGACTGTGAGCTTTGTGGGCGGCAAAGACTACGTTTTCTCGCTGTGCTTCCCTCCCGCCGCAGCCAGCTCCCACCTACCCCATGCACAAGTCCGCGCTGTGCACGCGGCATCGCACTCAGCGGTGGAAAACTCAGATGCTCCCAGCCTGATCCGGCCTTGCACAGCCCCCTTGCCTCCCAGCTCCAGGCAGGCATCTGCCCCCACCCACCCCCAGACCTCACTAGAGCAGCCCCAGGCCCCAGGTGCTTTCCTCGACCTGTTCAGGCTCCCCCTACCCTCTGTTTCAAAGCACAGGAGTCACACCACCGTTCCAGTTCACACCAGCTACAATTCGCACCACAGTTGCGATTCGCCCCAATTACAACTCACACACCACTGCAGAGGGAACCAGCACCACTCTCAGATCTCCCACGGCCCATGGCGGTGCTCCAGGCCAGCCCTCGAGGGTCAGGGGCCTTCAGGCTCCCGGCCGTGGGCACCAGTGGGCGCTGTGTGGCCTCGGCCAGCCCAGCCCTTGGCAGAATCAGAGGTGAGCTCTGAGGGCCCAGGCCCAGAGGAAGGGCAGGAAGCTGGGGACAGTCTAAAGCTGGACGCTGACGAGTGCCTTCTCTCTGCTCTGCGTCCCTCCCGGAAGGCCCGCTCCACGGGAGCAGGGGTTGTGCTCGCTGGGGCCCCCCGGCACCCAGGTCCAGCAGGGTAGGCGTGGGCTACACGGATGGCATAGTCAGCACGGATCAGGACATTTCATCTTCAACACGCCGCAGTGGTGCACTGAGCTATCCCACCCCTAGAGATAAACTGAGGGCACAGCGAGGGCGGGTGGGGTTACAGGGCTCAGGTGAGGGGCAGGATTGGAATCCAGGTGCTTTACCCACTAGCAGGGAACAGCAGGGTGACAGCCCTGGCTGCAGGGGAGGGCCCGGAAAAGGGAAGGGAGGGTGGGCAGGGGAGACCGGGAGGTGGGACAATGAGCAGAGGGCGCCCAGGCTAGGGAGAGGGGGCTAGAGCAGAGAAGGGAGGAGAAGATGGGACTCCAGAGAGAGGGTGTCAGGAAGGAGGCTCAGGATGTCTGAAAAGGCTTCTGGGGAGACTGAGGAATCGTGGGGAGAGATGAGACATTAGGGGACGGGCGGTGGGCACAGCGAGGTGGCCAGGGCAGGGCAGGGCCAGGAGGAAGGGGCCGGCCACACGGGCTAGAAGTCCGTTCAGCCGGACGGGCACAGGGTCTCCCTCTCCAGACGGGAGACCCCAGGGCGCCCAGCTACGTCGGGGATACACTGAACCAAGGCCAGGCCACGGGAAGAGACATTTTCCAGTGACGAAAACAGCCTTACACTGACTTCCCCAAACCGAGTTATAGAATGAGAAACCAAGGGACTGCTGTTTAGGGCAGTGCGGAGGGGGTTGGAGGACAGGCACATGGACCCTGACGGGGGCTGGGGGGGCCGTGGCGTTCGCTACCCAGGGAGGGTCAGTCCAACA